TCCCTTCTCCTGCCCCAGCTCCCTGCCTGTCCCCAGCCCCGGGCTGGATCCTGAGCTGGGAGCAGCAGCAGTAGTAAGATGCTCACAGTGAAACGTTAGAAGTGGAGGAACTGTAATTAGATTTTTTTCCAGGGTGATCATCTCTGCTTTCACTTGGAGTGGAAGAACCACTCAGCTGAAAGGAGTTGTGTGAAACAAAGCAGAGCAGCGAGGAGTGCTGGAACAATGAGTGGCTGGAGTATTCCAGCGATGCTTTCAGCTCCACTCTGCGTTTATAATTAAGCTCCTTGCAGACAGCAGGGCTGTAAATCATCTCATGGCCCCAGGCAGAGCTGGATCCTCCAGGAGATGCAGGGTGGGAGGCAAATCTGAGCACCCAGAGGTGCCCAGCTCTGCCTGCACCACCCACGGCTCGTGGGGATCCCCGGCGGGAGGGGAGCCAAGCCCGGGCAGCTGCTCCTGCCAGGCCGGGACAAACACGGGCTCTGAGCAGGATCTGCAGGAATCCTGGTGTCACCTGCCATCAGCTGCCTTCCAGCAGCTCCTCAGCGTGATGGATTCATCTGCTCGGCCTCAGAGCAGGATCGCTGCTTGTCTGAGACGTCGTTTCCATAAATCCTCCCTCCCCCACTGCCCGGGGAGCTCCGGAGCTGGACCAGAGACATTCCTGGAACAGGCTGCGCTCAGTTGTTCCTGCCAGGCAGCACAAGCAGCTGCTCGCACAGGGTGGGACGTAGGAGAGGAACCCAGGGAACACTGGAAGAAACTCCACGTGCAAAAATAGATTCTTTTCTCTATAAAGAGGCTGGAACCAAACCAGAGCTGTCACCAGACTCTTCACTGCGAGGGAAGCACAGAGCCAGGGGAGGTTCTGCAGCTCCTCTGAGGAGCAGTGATTGTGTTTCTGAGGTGCCCAAGCCATCCCAGGGATAAAATTTAAATTTTCCTGTGGTCAGGGCAGCCCTGGGTCAGCCCATTCTGGCAGCTGAGGTTTGGCACAGGCTTTTTCCCAGCCCTGAGCCCCTGCTCTGGTCAGGCTCTAAGTGGCACTTGCAGGTTGAATTCCAGTCTGTCACAGACTTTTATTCTTCCTGTTTGGAGAAGGGATTAGGAGACAATAAATTAATCAAAGTATGGAGCTCTCTAATCTGCTGAGAGCAGAAGTGAATTTGTTGCGTTGAGGGGAAACTCCTCTGGTTTGATTTTCTTCTGGGCACACATGGGCAGGTCTCTGCTGGAGAACTGGGACATCCTAACCCTGCTTGGTTTGGCTTTTAAAACACAGGTGAGTGAGAAGAACAAACAAACCCTGAGAAGCTCTTCTCCCTAAGAAGCTGAAAAGGATTCATTTATTTCATTTCTTAAGTTGTAGCCCAAATTATCCCCACGTTGTTATCGAGGAGAGGCTTGCTCTGGCTCTGGGTCTGTGTTTATAACTCTCAGAGCCCATTACCCTCATGTTTTGGGGAACGTGGCAACACATTTAAAACAGGGTTTTTGCCAAAATCCTGGAGGATGCATAACTGTGTCTCTGCTTCTGGGAGAAGGGAAATTGTACATTCTAATTGAGTGCTGCATTTTAAATCCAGCCCACTCCATGTGCCAGCACATTCCTTAGGACTTCCAGTCATCAAATTCCTTGGAAATTCTTCTTTTGTTTTGATTTTTCCTTTTCAGTTTTCAACAGCCTCTTTAATTAATGGAGAAGAGAAAAACCAATTTGCTGCTCTTCAGCTCTAATGCTTGCTCTCTGCGTGCTGCGGTTTGAACTCATGGTTACATTTAAATGCCATTTTTAGCCATATTTCCATAGTTATATCAAAACTGGAATGACAGATATTAGAAACATCTTGAGGAGTGGTTAAGTTTGAGCAGGAATGTTTGCCTTCTGTTGGAGGCAACTGAAAGGAGGGAAAGCACAAGCATTTCTGTAAAATGACAAATTTACAGCATTCTGGTGTAAACGAAATCTGTGGTTGTCGGAACCAAAAGGCAACATGTTTTTGTTAAATGCTCTGGAGGTTTAAAGCTTTTTAAGCAAAAGGAACCTTGGTTCATTTGGGTTCTGCCCCCAGGGCAGAGGGAGGCAGGTGAAATGCAGGTACCTGGCAGGCAGTGAAGGGTTTGATTCTCCACAGGAAGGGAGGGACGTCCAGCACCGAGATCTGCAGGCTGCAGGTGTTGCCTTTAAAATGCAAAAGTTTGGGTTCCTCCAGCAATTGCCCCCCTTGGAGTCTTTCATCTGAAACCACTTCCTGCAAGGGAGGAGGAGAGAATATTTTCAGTATTAGGAACAAACCCCAAATCCAGTGAAAATCCCTCTCCGTGGGGGTCCCGGGGTCCCCCACAGTGTCGAATGCACAGTGGAGTTTCTCTGGTGGGCAGCTGATGGTATTTATAGATATAAATATTTGATCTTGCTGTTTCCCAGGAGGCTGGGTTTGGGCACTGCCAGCCCCATCTCTGGGCAGAAAATGCTGCTGGACACTGAATTTTTGGCTGTCTCCCCTCTCCAACACCCCCAGTGCAGCCCAGCACAGCTGGACTCCAGCTTTGCTGGGGAACTTCTCTCAGGGCTTTTCAGAGCCCTCAAACGCTTCAGGTGAAATCATTCACTTCATTTCCCACCTCTGGGGCACTTCCAGAATCACTGGACAAGACCCTGAGCAGTGTGAAGGGCAAAATGTGGGCAGGGGTTTGCACTACAGCCCTCCAGAGCTCTGTTCCAAGAGAAATTTTTATGTAATTCGGTGAATTTAAAACATAATGGCAAAAAAAAAAAAAATCACCCCTGCTGGTACTTAAGCAATGTTTATTTCTGTGCTGCTGCAGTAAAAACACCAGTGAGGGAGGAAAGGTTGCAGAAGTCTTTAAAAATCAGCAGGCAAGCAGTGCTGCCAAATTACCTTTCTCAATCCACATAAATTATATCAAATGTGTGTCCATCGAAGGAGTTTAGTGCTTGTCAGGACCAAAGTCGTCGTTAGAGGAGCTCCTGGAATCACTGTGACCTTCTGAAAATTCAATGCTCGAGCTCTCTGAAACTGCACTAATGGGTTTCTATTATAAACCTGTTTTTCCAGGCATTTGGGTTGGTTTAACCCCTGCTGGTTGGGTTCACCCGAAGGAAGAAATTGGGAGACTTCAGTTTTTGGTTTCCAGCCACAAAGGGAGGAGATTATTTCTTAACCATCCTCAAAATTCCTGGAGTATCTGGGATATTTTTGAATGTTCTGTGAGTGCTGCTCTGCCTTCAGTGACAGACGTGAGACTTCTCCCACAGCAGCAGCATTTGGGCAAAACACCAGAAGGGCCTGAGTCTCTTCAATTTTGAGAGCCAGCACACACTCAGAACTTCACAAAGGCCCAAATCCACTGCTGGAGGAGCAAGGAGAGTTTTCAGCCAGGGAAAAAGTCAAAACCAAGAGAATTCTGTCTCTTACATAAACCTGCACCGTGCAGGATTAACTGTCAAACACCACTTGGCAACCCCAACTCTGATATTTTATCTAAAAACCTCCATAATTCCCCAAATTTTATCTAAAGACCTCTGTAATTCCCCATATTTTATCCAAAAACCTCTGTAATTCCCCATATTTAATCCAAATCCATTAATTCTCCCACTGATATTTCCTTGCTTTTAGGGTTGCATCACTCCATAAACGCAGGGTTGTCTCACTATCTCCACACACCCTGCTCTCACTCCTGGGAAGGCAGAGAACTGGTAATTATTCTTCTGATCATTTCCTCCAGACTCATCAGGAAGACACCGGTACCCACTAATTGCCTAAGTGTTATAAAGAGGATAATTACAGAGCCATTGTGAGCCTCTAACAATGCTTTTGGTGCCTTGGCTTTTATTAGAGGCACAGAGGCAGCTCCAGTCAGAGCCGTGTTTCCATTCCTGTGCCACGGCAAGGGGAAGGAAAAATTCATCTCGCAACTGTTTGCATTTCGTTTCCCCAAAGAACAGCATTTTGTTAAAGCCCCTGAGTTTACCAGAGAATGTCCTTGTTGTGTCCTGGAACACGGTGCAGGAAAATCATTCTCATCCCAACTGCCACGTGGGGACTGGGCTCTTTTTTTTTTTTTTTTTGACTGAGAGGAAATGCAGGATAATTGAATTTTTGTAAACCAGGGCTGGGTGAGTTTGGGTAGTCGAGAATGTGGCAAAAATGAGAGAGCAAACAAGAGAGTTTGGCTGCCCTAAAGCTCTCAGTGTAAATCCACAACGGCAGGGAATGGAAGTGATTTATTCTAACGGTGCAGCAGCGCTTCAGAAATCCAGTATTCTCACTGGGTTACGGCTGGGGATGCCCAGGGAGTGAAAGGATGCCAGCATGTAATGGGAAAATAAAGCAAGCCCAGAGGAGCAAAGCGAAGCCATTTACCTGGAATGCACAAGGGGTGTTATCCACACAATAAACCCTCAGATTGTAATCCAGAGAATTGCAAGACAGGCAGCCAAAAACGGCGACTTTCAGCTGTCGAACGGCGCAGTCTGAGATGGGTTCCCCAATTAGGGCATAAGTTCCAAAGCTGTTTAAGAGAATGTGACAGGCATAAGGATCCAACAGGCAGTAGCAAGAAGTAGTTTCCTCTTCCACAGACATCACTTCCTGCAAAACGAAATTCAGGTTTAAAAAGAATAAAGCGAAGTCGAATCAATAGGCCTCGACAATAGGAGTCATGGCATTAATACTTGATTTTTATTCACTGGAATGCAGGGTGCTGCTGGGAGCCAGGCTGCACTCTCGGGGAAGGGGAGAAGGGGGACTGCTTCCCTGAGTAAATATTCCCAATTTAGGCCTGAGTCAGCAGGAGGATTTATGGCCATGCCCTGTGCCGAGCTCGCTGTGTACATACAATAATAATGATGATGCCTAAGCAATTTTAGCAGCTTTTTTCAAGTGCTCTTGACTTTCTGGCTAATTTTTCCCCCCAGTGTCAAGTTAAAAAATTACCTTGAAGGTTAAAGTCAATAAGCAAACCTTGAACAATGGCTGGGGTTTGACTTCCTTCCAGAACACCCATTACAGCCACATTTCCCTCCCCCAAAAACTCCCTCTGCTCTGCCTCTGCTGTTCACTCCTGCCCGGTGTCCCCATGTCCTCTGTCCGTGTGTCCCTCTGTCCATCTGTCCCTGTGTCTGTGTGTCCCATGTCCCTCTGTCCATCTGTCCCTGTGTCTGTGTGTCCCCATGTCCCTCTGTCCATCTGTCCCTGTGTCTGTGTGTCCCCATGTCCCTCTGTCCATCTGTGCCTGTGTCTGTGTGTCCCTGTGTCCCTCTGTCCGTGTGTCCCTCTGTCCCTGTGACCTCCTGTCCATCTGTCCCCGTGTCCCTCTGTCCCCGTGTCCCTCTGTCTCTGTGTCCCTGTGTCTGTGTGTCCCATGTCCCTCTGTCTCTGTGACCTCCTGTCCCTCTGTCCCTCTGTCCCCGTGTCCCTCTGTCTCTGTGACCTCCTGTCCCTCTGTCCCTCTGTCTCTGTGACCTCCTGTCCCTCTGTCCCCGTGTCCCTCTGTCCCTCTGTCTCTGTGACCTCCCACCCTCTGTCCCCGTGTCCCTCTGTCCTTCTCCCTCCCCAGCTGTCTGAGGCCAGCGCTGCTGGAGCTGCCCAAGGACTGGGTGGATCTGGCTGAGGAAGATGGGAGTGGAATGGATGAAGGCAGAGCAGACCGCAGGCAGGGGCTCAGAGGGACAGGACAGAAGGACAGGCTGCAGCCTTGGCGTCCTGGCTTTGTAGCCATGACCTGCATTGCCAAACACCCGAACCCAATCCTGCTGCTTCTTCACAAAGGGCAAAATCTTTTCGCTGTGCTTGTTTCCCTCAGGTCCCTCTGCCTGTCCCTGCACGACCAGGGGCTAATTCCACGTCCACGGTGGCACAGGCTGGGGCTGGGCTTACCTCCCACTTGCCCTGCTGCGTCCTCCTCTTGAGGCGGATGCTCCAGTGCTGGGGGTCGGCGTGGGCGCAGTGCGGGATGCTCAGGGCGCACGGGGTGCTCACCGCCAGCTCGGGGGGCCCGCAGCTCACCTCGGGCCCCAGCAGCACCTCGGGGCCCTCCGGCTCCAGGCTTGGGGCAGCAAAGACAAGAGTGGCTGTCAGGAGTGAGAATTCACTGAAAATATTTCACTTCAAATCCAAGCACCTTTCCTCATCTGCTCGTTTCTGCTCCTTTCACGTGGAAGCAGCAGCTGGAGATGAAACAAACCCATTAGACCCCATCTAACTCCAATCAGCGCCTGGTCAGTTTAGGGCTCTGGTATTTAAAGCACATTTCAATTTGTTTAACCCAAATCCAGCCCTGAAATTGCTCTGTGCTAGCCAGCCCAGCTCCGAGCACCAGCTGGTCCCGTCCCCGCCGTGCTCTGCCTTCAAACGCTGCCATCAACAATATTTTCACAGGAGCGAAGATAAAACAAATTATGGCTTAAAAAACACCGGCTCATAAATTCTTCCCGATTGAGTGTGATCTCCCTGCTTTGAAAACCCGTTTGTATTCTGCAGGAGGGAGGACTCGGTGACTTTTCCAGACCCAGGGTCAGGGCAGTGCTTGGAATTAGGGCTGGGCCAGGTGTGGCTGTGGCTCCGGGACAGGCAGGGGAGATCCCAGCTGAGCTCCAGGGATTCACCTGGGCTCAGGAAATGGCTGCACCCTCTGCCTGCTGCCTTCCAGAGATGTGTGACCTGCTCCTCTCCTCTCCCACTCCAACAAACTGGAGCCACCCCCACATGCACGTGTTTTCTGTCTCTTGGAATAAATCCCTGAGCAGGAGCGGTGCCAGAGTGAGGAGAATCCCTTGGACACTGAACCAGCAATTGAAACCTCTTGCCCTGGTGCTTTTGTTGCTGTTTGGTTGTATTTTAATCCATTTGAGTGTTGTGATCCCCGTGCTTGGGTTCTAAATTATTGTTCCCTCTTCAAATTAAAGCAAATGGTGTTTCCAAGGTAAAAGGTAAGACGAGGAACCTCAGCCAAGGTAAAAATTAGGGAAAGGACCCCAAGCAAGATAAAAAATAGAAGATACAAGAATAAAACCGGGATATAAAAAGGGGAAAAGGCCAAGCAGGGTTGGGTACCCCATTCCAGTGCCCGTGCTGACACCCTGACGTGGAGGTGCACCCTGCTGTGGGTGCTCAGGAAATGCCCTTTCCAAACCCCATTCCTGCTCCAGAGAGGCTGGAATGTTCCAGGCCTCCCCTCAGTCTGTGTGTACAAGTGTTGCTGAGAGGGAGACTGCAGGGGAGGAAAAAAAGCCACAACAGGGTAAAAAAAAAGGTAAATTCCTTTTTTTCCTTTCTTAAGTGTCACGATAATAAATTCTGCTGAAGCCTCGGTGCTTCCAAGTGTCTGTAGGATTCTCAGGCTAAAAAAAAATCAAAGCTCCCCCAGAGCCCAAGGTGCTGAGCTCCTCCTGAGCAGGGAGAGGAGCAGCAGGCACAAGAATTCCATGGGTTCCACAGGAGCAGCACTCCAAGGCCATTTTTGGGTCCCTCTCAGGGTGGTCATCCCAGCAGGGAGTGGCTCCCCACGTTCCACCCCAAAGCCACTAAGGGAGGCAGGTCCATGAGCCCGGATCTCTCACCTGGACTCCTTCTGGGTGATGGCCAGGTAGATTTCCCAGGAACTCTCCTCAGGAATAGCCCCGTGTGGAATTAACAGGCTGACCCCTGGAAAAGAGCAAGGGCAGCACTGAGCCTTGGGATGTCAGGGATGTCAGGGACAGGGAGCACCACCCCAAGGGAAGGAATGCTGCTCTGAGCTCCTGCTCCTCAGGGCAGCCTCATCAGAGGAAAGGAGCATCAACTGTCAAAGGAAATAAAGCTGTTGCTGTTCCATTAAAGGAAAAGATGTCTTATTTCCCAAAAAGCCTTCTGGAATCTCTTTCCTTTTTGAAATCAGACCTGATCCTTGTGGGATCCCAGGGAATCTCCCCATGGAGAGGGCGATCCCCCCTTTGTCCCCACACACCCAGCTCCTGCAGGTGATCCCATTCTCCTTCCACAGCACCAGAGTGGATCAGAAGTTAACAGGGGAGTTTTCCCTGGGTACCACTGGAAAGAAACTGCTTTATCCCGCTCTCAGGAGAGGGGGAATGTGTTTGGCTTTGGTTCTGTCACACGGTGCACAGCCTTGGTGAGGCACTGCCTCGATCACACTGGAATTCACAACTGCTTGGCACAGCTGATCTTACATAAAGGCAGCAAGAATTACATAAATTTCAAGTGGACCAAATACATATTTTAATAATCTAATTGATGGGACTATCATTACATAAAGTAGCTAAATATACAGTATGAGGGAATTCTTAATTCATGCCTTAACTCAGTGCCTCTGCAATGTTCCTTCCTCAGCACAAAACCAGTCTGTGGAGAAATGAAAACATTCCCCACGTTGTGCATGCCTGGCTTGTCACTGCTATCAATCCTCTCTAAACACAAACCACGTTTTTTATGGTAACCTTTAAAGCACCCGTTTTGTGGGACATGAAGGATAAAGCTCTAAATCATCCAGTTCAACCAGAGAGCAGCAGATAATCCTGGAGCACCGCTCAAACGAAAGCAGAGCTGAATTGAAAGTGAATAAATATCACTGGAGTTGAAGGATGATAACAGCCAGCTGGCAGTGGGGTATCTGGCTTTTTGTGCTTTTTCTGCTGCCTTTTGGGGAGAGAACATACCCAGGGTGAGGGCAGGGATTTGGGGTGATGCAAACACGGCCCTGGGGTGCAGCTGCAGGGCTGTGACCCTGCCAGCCTTAGCTCATTCCACAGACAGCCCTGCAGGTCCCCAGCACGTCCCACAAAGGGACTGAGGTCACGAAGAGAGGGAGCAGCCCAGCCCGGGACAGGGCTGACGGGAAGGACCCCGCTGTGGGAATCTGGAATTTTGCTCCAAGGAAGGGGAAGGCAGGCAGGCAGGAGGGGCAGGAGCCTGGTGGGGCAGCAGTGGGGCTGTCCCCAGGCCTGGCTGCTGTCCGTGTCCCTGGTGGGACAGGGGTCTGGGGCTGGGACCCGAGCCCCTCACGTAAGATCCAGCATCGACCCTTCCTGGGGAGCCTCTGCTTTGGAGCAGGATCCAAGCAAGGCACAGCTTTGATTAATGTGACTTTCATGCTGAAGACATCAAGAGAGGCAGTAATTTAAAACAGTTCAAATGGGCATAATGCCTCTTCAGTCCTCAGCCCAGGCTTCCCTCTGATCACTCGTGTCCTCTGTGGGCAACGTGCCCTACTTCCAAAATCCGCATTAACGGCGCCCCTGCTTCTTCTTCCCTGGCATTTTTTAAAGAATTCAGTAATAAAACACTACATCAGACAGCCTAACCTCAAACTCCTCTGCGTGCTTGGACGAGCAAGGAGCCCTCACCCACCTGTGTTGGGGACCACCAGGCGGCCCCCCAGGTGCCCGAAGAGGGCCGAGCTCCTGAGCTCGCTGCTGCTGGAGATGGAGGCCAGGTGCTGGATGAACATGGCCTTGTTCCTGGCCTGCAGGGTCCCGAAGGGCCGCGGGCTGCCGTGGGGGAAGGTGCCGGGGTGGGCCTTGCCGTGGTACTCGGCCCTCTCGGTGACGCCCAGGGACACCATGAAGGAGCTCTGCACCTTGACCTTGATGTCGGCCAGGGGGTTGAAGAGCGAGGACTCGGTCATCAGCTCCTTGTCCAGGGGGTCCTGCAGGCAGATGGGGCCGCTGTAGGTCCTGCTGACCGTCAGCTCGGGCTGCAGGGACGAGTTCAGGAGCAGGGAGTTACCTGTGGGGACAGCAGCAGGGATGGAGGGACACCTCAGCAGCGTCACCTCAGCAATGCTCCCGTCCCCTCTGCCAGCCTCCCCGAGCTCTCAGAGCCCCAGAGCACACCAGGCCACGTCAGGGAGCCGAGGAACCGGTGCCAAGACCTGACACTTCACGTTCACCACGCCTCGGGCAGCTCCAGAGTGCAGGAACCCGAGGAGGAGCCTGCTTTGGTTTGGAGTCACGTTTTTGTGTTTGCCCTTTTGCCTCTCTTGTTGTTTTCTTCCCTTACATTAAACCCCACTGAGTGACAACATCTTCCTGCAGACCTTTTATACAAAGCCACAACTTCATGCCTGAGGGAAACTGGGCTGAAAGGGAGGTGGGACAAGAGTGATACACAGAAAGACACCACAGTTATTAATTTGGATGTGTTTTACCTCAGAAAACACTCTGAAAAATGAGGAGTGGATGGATTTAGGGCCTGAGTCCTCTTGCTGTTTGGTTTTGTGGTGGGGTCTTTTTCTTTGGTTGTTTAGTTGGGTATTTTCAGAGCATCCAGAATGGAAGGTTTTAAGCATTAAGCCAAGCAAACAATTCCCCAGACTCAAAACAAGATTCAAACTGAACCACAAAGGAAAATGTTCTTGTTTGAGACAGTCATTGAGATTTACACAGCCCTAATTAAAGGTTTGGATTTAGAAATGGATGAATGAACTTCCTTAAAACGTCCTTGTCTGCCAAGCCCTTTTGCCAATTTCTTGCAAGTCATGCTTGGTGAGGAACGTCTCCAGGAAATAAAGAAACTGTAAAAACAACCCCCAAAACCCCCCCAAACAAACTCTGCAACATATTTCTCTTTTCTGAAGAGAGAACAGAGACATGGGGACACTTTCACACCCGTCCCACGCTCCCACCCACCCACAATCAGGCAGGTCTGAGGTAGAGTGGCAGCACAGAATCAATAAACATCCTGCTTTCATCCCCGTTTCTCTCCCTCCCCACCCTCCTGTTCAAAGGGAACAACGTTCTTAAAAACCTGAGCGCTGCTTTTAGTAAAGGTTTTGTCCATGTTTTGTGCCACTGGTGGTTTTTTCTAGGGCTTTAGGGGGTCCAGTGTTACACACATGGATTTCCCTCAGTGCCCGTGTTACAGCAGGTTACAAAACCCTTCCAGCTGGGGGGTCTCAGATTGTCAGGAAAAGAATAATTCCTTTTATTGGAGTGGAGGAGAGCTCTGTAACTGAGGACAGGAGGAGCTCCAGCTGTGGGGCCTGGGCTTGCCATGATTTGGTTGCTTTGCTTCAATTTGAGCTTTTCCTACCTCAGTGTGGGAGCTGGGGATTTTGGAACGGACATGGGGATTTTGGACGCTGGACAGCGCTCCTGAAGCATCTGGAGGGAGGCCAAGGAGGATCCCGTGTTTGTGGGACCGAGCAGAGCCAGCCCCAGGTCTGTCCCTGCCCCGGCTGCCCCAGACCCCCTCCCCAAAGGCGGGCGAGCCTGAGCAGCGGGAGCGCCGCAGAGAAGGAAGGAAATCGCCGCACTAACCTTGTCTGACTGTTTTAAAATTAAAAGTCTGGAAGCCTCCCGTGAGTGCAGAGGAATCAATGACATCCACGCCGTACTCACTCTGACTGCGCCGGTACAGGGTCACCCCCAGCGCCAGCACGGCCACCGCCAGCACCGCCGCCGCCAGCCCCGAGTACAGCGCGATGTCCCCGCCGCGCTCCACGTCTGCGGAGAGAGCTGCGTCAGGGA